TATGATCAATTTGCATATTACTATTTTATTAGATAGGCTAAGAAGCTTGAAGAAAGTGGTTGGGTCCTCCCCTTTGTCCCTCATGCTCAATACAATGCTAGGATTGGATATGCACTCACAGACAATGGTAACAACATGAGATGGAGGGCTATGCCACAGAGCAGTGGTTCTCAAAGTTGTGGTGGGTATCAGCTTTGGAAGATTCTCAGGTCTAGCCTAAAACTATGGAATCAAACTAAATGTCACAGGTGATTCTGGTACTCATAAAAGGCTTGAGCCACCACTAGTCTATTGCAGTGTTAATATGTGCTCTGTGCAACTCTGGCTTCATGGCCAATAACTTATACCAGCATTTCTCAAAGTTAAGAAGGCTACTTTAACACAGGACACTTTTTTATTGTCTAAAGTTTTACATATATTTCCTTTTCCCCCAATTGATACCCCCTGTACCCATCACCACCCGGAGCAAGCCCCCACTACCCCAGTGTCTGTATCCATTGATTATGCTACTATGCATGCATACAAGTCCTTTGGTTGCTAGCTATAATACAGGCTTTTAAGAATTTATTATACTAACATACATTTTGAACCCCAAAACAGGAATTAGTGTATGCCAGTGGTTCTCAAAATGTGGTTCCCCAGGTCCAGCAACCTCAGTATCCTCTGGGAACTTGTTAGAAATCCAGTCTTAAGCCCATCTCAGACCTGCTTAATCAAAATCTCTGGAGATGGGATTGAGCCATCTGAGTCTTTCTTATAAGCCCTCCAGGTGTTTCTGATGTTACAAACAGCTTGAGAGCCAATCTTTGCAGTGTTTTCCCAAACGACTCTTTTATCAAACATGTGGCAGGGGTAATATATTCTGCCATAAGAAATGTTACTGAAGCATGTGTAATGAAGATGTGTGAAAGCATCAGCACTTGTACAGAAATTTTTTTGCAAGTATTTGATTGTTGTTTTATATAAGCACCCCCTTCTATTAAAAAAAACACAAAACACAAAAACTTGAGGCACCTCAAGGAGAATGCTGGCAGTAAAGGATTCTTGCTGAGTATTTTGATCACCTCTTATTTATGCCAGGCTTCCCTGAGACACCAATGTCAGTACACCACTCGCGACCTATGCTCTTAGTGAACAATGACAAAGCCAAAGCAGCAATCAAAATAGTCAATAAACCAAACCTTAAAGTTCCTGGACCAAGAGAAAGAGAACACATTCTTTTCTTTACTGAATGAAAATTAGCAAGACTTAATAGGGGGCAGGGCTGAATGAGTCTACTTCTGATATATGGTATAAAGATAACTGAGTACACACTTCATGCAGGTAAACTTTTTTTTTTCTTTATTCTTTTAATTATCTAAAGTTTTACATAAGTCTTCTTTTTTCCCAATTGACCACCCCCTCCCACCCACACTGGGCAAGCCCCCACCACCCCAGTGCCTTTGTCCATTGGTTATGCTAATATGCATGCATACAAGTCCTTTGGTTGCTCTCTAACCATAGCTTCCCTACTATTTGTCTCTGGATCTATTATTGTTCATCAAATTATGTTGATCATTATATACCACATATGAGTGAGATCATGTGATATTTATCTTTCTCTAACTGGCTTATTTCACTTAGCATAATGCTCTCTAGTTTCATCCTTGCTATTGCAAATTATAAAAGTTCCTTTTTTGCCAATTTAAAAAAATTTATTGATTGATTAAGGTATTACATATGTGTCCTCACCCCGCCATTACCCTCCCCACCCCACCACTAGTGTCCTCAGACATATAGATCAATGGGATTGAATAGAGAACCCAGAAATCAAACCAAACCACTATGTCCAATTAATATTCGACAAAGGAGGAATGAGCATACAATGGAGTCAAGACAGTCTCTTCAATAAATGGTGTTGGGAAAATTGGACAGATACATGCAAAAAATAAAATAAACCACCAACTTACACCATACACAAAAATAAGCTCAAATGGATAAAGGACTTAAATATAAGACTGGAAACTATAAAAATACTAAAGGAATCCACAGGCAGCAAGATCTCAGACATATACCGAAGCAATTTCTTCACTGATACAGCTCCTAGGGCAATGGAAACTAAAGAGAAGATAAATAAATGGGACTACATCAATATAAAAAGCTTCTGCACAGCAAAAGAAACCATCAACAAAAGAACAAGAAAGCCCACTACATAGGATAACATATTTGCCAATGTTATCTCTGATAAGGGTTTAATCTCCAACATTTACAGGGAACTCATACAAATTAATAAAAGGAAGATAAACAACCCAATAAAAAAATGGGCAATGGATCTAAATACTTTTCTAAAGAAGACAAAGGAAGGCCAAGAGACATATGAAAACATGCTCAAAGTCACTAATTATCCAAGAGATACAAATAAAAAATAAAATAAAAAACAATGCAGTACCATCTTACACCTGTCAGAATGGCTATCATCAACAAACCAACAAATGACAAGTGTTGGCAAGGATGTGGAGAAAAAAGAACCCTCATGCACTGCTGGTGAGAATGCAGACTAGTGCAGCCACTATGGAGAACAGTATGGAGTTTCCTCAAAAAACTAAAAACGGAACTCCCATTTGACCCAGTGATCCCATTTCTAGGAATATATCCCAAGAAGCTAGATACACCCAACAGAAAGGACATATACACCCCTATGTTCATAGCAGCACAATTTATAATAGCTAAGATTTGGAAACAGCCTAAGTTCCCATCAGCAGATGAGTAGATTAAAAAACTGTGGTATATCTACACAATGGAATACTATGCTGCAGTAAAAATGAAGGAGTTCTTATTGTTTGCAACAGCATGGATGGATCTGGAGAGCCTTATGCTAAGTGAAATAAGCCAGTCAGTGACAGATAAATATCACATGATCTCATGCATTATGGAATATAATGAACAACATAAACTGATGAACAAAAACAGATCCAGAGACAGAGAAGCATTGATCAGACTGTCAAACCTCAGAGGAAAGGTAGGGGACGGTGAAGGTAAGAGGGAAAGATCAACCAAAAGACTTATATGCATGCATATAAGCCTAACCAATGAATGCAGGTATACTTTAAAACTCAGGCAGAATGAGGGCTTAAGATAGAATCCCAAGGTGACTGAACTGGATTGGGCTAGGAGCTCCTGCTGAAACACCTTAGCATTGGACAGCTTCCCCTCTGTACAAAGACATGCTGATTATGGCCCCAGTAACTTTATTTTATGGATGCCCTGAAAAGAACCATTCAATTATATTTTACCTATTTATCTAATTTTACCTTAATATATTGGCTACTCCTAAAAGCACAAATTTCCAGGCAATGGTAACTTTGGGGAGCTAGTGAATAGTCAACAACATTAAATATGTTTACATTTTCCTTCAGCTCTCAGAGGTGGAAAGGACCTTAGATGTTTATTTATCTGTCTTCCCTCTACCTACAAAATGAGCAACAAAAGGGAAAACAGTGTTGATGGCAGAGAGAATACTAGAACATAGGTCTCATTTGTGCAACTCCATCACTGAATGTGAATGAGAATTTTTGTTCCAATGTAAGTTCAAGTAAAATAACTAGTACAATAATAATTCTTTAAAGTGTATTCATGTTAACATGAATATTTAGAATGTAGATTGTCTGAGGGGAGTGACCTTTTGTATAATTCAAGATTTAACTCCAGTTTCAATGACAGTTAATGGTAAGTAATAGACATTCAATAAAGACATGTTGAAGAATTTTTCTTTGATTGAATATAAAGAGTTTATTCAGTGCGTATTTGGATATACAACAACAAATATTAAACAACTTTTTTAAACATTTTTGTGCACAGGACAGAAAACTGCCTGTACATGCTATGTCCACTTTTGGAACACAGATTTGAACAATTATTAATGCACAAAATCTTACATATCATGCAACTCTAGGCCAAGATTCCAACTTTCTTCCATGCAACAGATATGAAGATCTATATGGAAACCTAGCTAAGTCTTAAACACTTTTCCAGAAGCAAGTATAAGTATATGTTGTTTAGGGGTAACCAGTCTTAATATTTCCTTGTACATAATATTCACGTGCCAAATACAGTGACAAGAGGACTCATACACATAGAGGTAAGACATTTCTTATTTTAACAACACAAAAGACAATATCACAGATCCACAATTCCTGTGTTTACATAAGAAGCCACAACAATAGTTTAACATGATAACACAAATGGAATTAAGAGAAATCTAAACTTGAGGATAATCTTTTTTGTTGTTTAAGTAATATTTATTGACTGGGGTTGACAATACAATTCAATTTCTATGCACAAAGCACAGCACAAGAACTTGACCAGAGTACTACAAAACAACAACAACAAAAAAAATTGGTAAAATCACAAGAACACTGTTACCTTGAGCCTGAGATGCCAATTCAGATCCAACCCTGAATTTGGTTGATTTGGATTAAGTGACACAGAGTCAATAGAACCACTGAATTTCAGAAATCAGAAAGTTACACTATACCAAAGTAAAGAATACAGTTGAATCAAGCATAGATAGAAAACATTAAGCCAAGAAAACACACAGATCACATAATTTTGTTTGCCTCTACAAAACATGTAAGCAGTTAATTTTGTTTTATTTTTGAAGAGCAATTGTGGTCTTTTAAATTTTCTTTCTTGGAGGGCAAATTTTTATCAGCATTAGTGCTGTGAAATGATTGTGGTTTGTCATCCCAAAACTTAAAGTGAGATCATGAGAAAATTGAGCAGTCCTTCTCCTGGATTTAGTTCACTGATAATGCTTAGCATTCTTTTGCACAAGCTCAATCTAAATTATGGGGCTTTAGTATGGATGATAAAGTTTAATGGCAGATAGAATAGTGAACTCTGCCCATATGTCTGGTAAATGTCACTGACAAATTTGAACTTTTGGGTGAAGGACTGCTAGAAGAATTCAACAGCACCTGGAGTAAGGTTCTGTTACAGAGCCCTTGTTTTGCCCTCACTGGCTACGTTGATTCATTGTGGCTCATGGATTTGCCTCCATTCAGCACTCCAGAGACACTTCTGCTCTTGGTTGGGGTCCCACTTCCAGATCTGGAGAACTCCGTGAGATCATGCAGTGATGGCTCCTTGTACATGGCCACTGAAAAGCACAGAAAGAGGGTGTCAGATGCCTTTAAATAGATACACCACACTGGCCCTCAACTCTTCTTCTAGTTACTAGGCTTCCACACTTTAGGCCAAACATGAAAAATGCTGCCTTCAAGGACTCAGTCAGAAGTGAACTGGATCAGACTAAGTAAAATCTACTTTTGGTGAAGTAGTAAATAAAGAATTCTAATGCCTAATTTCCATCACTTATGGTTATGTATATGAGAGGATTAATGAAAAATGTATTTAATAAAGCTCTTCTAAGTTTAAACATGACCTAAAGAATGTTATGCAAGCCAATTATTAAAAACATTTTAAAATGCTGATTTTTATCATGATTTAAAATGAAACTCCCCAAAAGTCTAAATATTAGCACAATTCTTAATGAAAAAAATGATAAGTATGATTACTGTTATGCTGTAAATAATAGTACTAGCTTGTGTTAATGGAATACTTACAATGTACTAGATACTGTTTTGAGTGCTTCGTATCCATTAACTATTGTAATCTGTGTAAGAATACTCTGACATACTACTCTTATTTATATTTTACAGACATGGAGCTTGAGGCACACATATGGCAATAATCTTCTCAAGACCATCCAGTTAATAAAGGGTAAGGCTGGGTTTTGAATCCAAGTAGACTGGTTCTAGAAAAATGTGCTGGGAAGCAATGCTATGCTGACTTACTGGGCAGTCTGCCCTACTTGAAATCCAGAGTTGAACCCTAGGCCAGTAACCTCTTGGAGGTCTTGCTCTGCTTTGTCTGCATTTTCTAGTCCTTCTCCACCATGACTCACTACTTTTAACATCCCTATTCTCTGCAGTCCATTCCTATCCTCCACCTTTTCTAATTTGCGACTAGTCTGCTAATAATGACTGAAAAATGAAACTATGAATGAAAATTGAGACAATATTGTTGGGTCCTCAGGGAATGTCCAAGGAGTTTTCTGATAAATGTTACGTATACACATATTTAAGCATCTGTTTTTCTGCCCAGGGATCAATCTGGCATAATTCGAGGTTCTTGGCTGTCCTGAACTAGCAATTAAACTAGTTCCATATAAGTAAGGTGTTACTATATCTAGATATATAATGGAAAAATTAAAATCAAAAGATTATATGCTATTTTTTGAAGTTTAATGCTTTTAAGTGTTTAAACTGTTACTAAATTTTTATATAAAAGCCTTAATGTGGAAGAATTATGTTCCATTTTCAAAAGTGTGCAAAAGGAATTATTTAAATACATACTCATTTAATCTCAGCTCCTATAACACTGAGCTTACCTTTCAGTGGTTTGGGCAGAAAGTGGGCTGCAGGCTTGTTCTTCTTCACATGGTTTCCTTTCATGATCTCTCCTTCTTTGTTCAGACCCAGATACCACCCTCTGCCTGACTGCTGCTGGCGGTATATCATCGATGAATATGTCACGTAATAATTTTCAAACACGGATTCTTTGAATTTACACTCAGGTGTGAAATGTTCCTACAAGAAAAGTAAATAAACTAAAGCTCAATATTTGCAGCTATGGATTTCATGGAGAACCATGTGGTATTGCCCTTCGGAAGTTAAGGACATTCTTTGTTAAATCTTGTGTGACTAGTGCTCTATTTTAATAGCATAAATTATATTCATTGGAAAACAAGACTATATATAGTATTTTGTACGATAATTTAGAAAAGGCACAAAGCACAAGTACCATTGATTAATGATTAGCTCTTTTTGTAGTAAGGTAATGTAAAAATTAGAACCAGCCACATAAGTGTAATATATCAGACAAATACAAGTATCAAATATAAAAAAGATAAGCATCAAGCTGTCATATGGAGCTTTGTTTACTTGGGGATTAAATATTAAAAAATAAATATTCAGTCCTTGTACTTACTTTTCATAGATTCTCCAATTACTATAAACTATAATTTTCAATTGCCCAAGACAGAAATCTCTGTTACAATGCTGGTTGCCTATATTTCTAAAGGGATGCTATAACAAAAGACTTCCTTTTACTTTTAGGTAAAACAAATTGATTATTAAATTGATTAATTTTTAGGTCATTAGACCTTGAGTTAAAAAAAAAATTCCTGCTCACCCTTACCTTACAGTGAAGTTTACAAGAAAATCAATATAGAAGCAAGGAATTTACAGTAATTCTATAAGTAGACATGAGAGAACAGCCCAAGGGACTTTTAGTCCTGGAATGTGATATTCTGCCACATGCTTGACCATGTTTTTTTTAGAGTTGTCCTTACAAATGAAGGGTTTCTGACCCAACTGTTTCAGAAACAAAAATAGAAATAGAAAACCTTCTTTCAAGTTTTGTGTATGTGTGTGCATGCAATAAATACCTATTAAAATAGCTATTTGTAAGCAAAATAAAATGAATGGCAGATTTTAATCCCAAAGTAATCCATAAGTAGCAAGGGATCCACTTGGAGTGTAAGATAATAAAGAAAATGTTAACTGAGCTACATGTAACAGGGGCACCAAGGAAACCATTAGATTTTTGCTCATTTGATGAGATGTTATCAGGAATAACTTTTAATAAAAGAAACTTAAACTACCTTGTAAAAATACTGCAAGTTTTCTGGACACCAGTCTTTTCTTAGCAATGCCTCCATGGTCCTACCTTCCTTCACTTTCATATAAGATATCATTGTAAGCAATGTACACTACCACAACAAGATCTAAAGCACTTTCAGAGAGTCGCTTAAGCAAAAAGGGGGAAGATTCCTCGAGTTGAGGCTGCCTTTCTCTGACAATTAAACAATTGAACATTTTCCTTCTTTTTCTTTTTTCTGGGAATCCACAAAAATCTTAGCAATCTCATTGATTTCCACCTGGCCTGCAGAGTTCATATACTGAAATAATATTTTGGGTTTATTTCTGTCTGGGGCACACTTGATAGATCCTCAAAAAATTCAAACAAATTCAACCTACCCAAGAATAAACATTACATCCAGAGAAGCTATCATGTGCTAGGAACCAAAGTGCTCTAATGATGAGCTACGAAAACTCCCCTTTGTAGAACTCTCAACATAGGGAAAGCCAAGAAATGCCTACAAAGAAATTTGACTCAAAGTCTCTACATTCCCTCCAGTGATGAGGACAATTGCACAAAACACTGCTAAAAGTCATTGGGAATTAAATCACCATTTGGGGATGGTAATCTTATCATTGGAGTGTGGATTTTAGTTTCCTAAAGAATCAGAAATCATTTAAAAGTAAATATGGTGAATAACACATATGATTTAGACAAGTGATTCTTTGTAGACATATCAAGATACTATATGATTGACTACAAAATGATGAGGTGGGATTATTGTGTGCTCTAAGACATGTCCCAAAAAGGGTTGTATTTAATGTCTTGTGTGATCGCAGCATCAATCCATTTATTCATTTATTTATACAAACTTTCTGGCAATCCGTCATATGCTTGCGTGATACTAAAAATTTATAGGTAAATATTATAGCATGTGGTCTCCAAAGCTTATCACGTAGTTTCAGGAGTCAGAAATATAGCCAAATAACCTTGTCACAGGTTTTTCTGCCATGAAGGATGGCTGGTTTGAGGGAGGGACTTTAGGTGGTTGGCAGGCCAGCCCTGTCTCCTATTGAGGTGAGGTGGCAATCAGGGGACAGTGCTTGCCAGGGGGAGGAGCTCTGGGCTTATCGGGGTGGTGGGGTCCCATTGGGGGCATGGCCAGTTGGGGGGAGGGGCTATAGGAGGTTGGCTGCTTAGCCCCACCCCCTATTGGGGTGGGGGGTGCAATCAGGGGCAGCCTGCTGAGGGAGGGGCTGGGAACCTATTATGGTGGGGTTGGCTGATGGGGCGGGGCTGGATGGGGGGGAAGGGAAGGGGTGTTTGGCTGGCAGGCCTCGCTCTTGATCCTTAATCTGGGTATGAGAGTCCAATAAGGGACAGGCTGGCTGGGGAAAGGGGCTATGAATTTGGCTGCAGGCCTCACCCATTGATTCGCTATAGTGGGCATCATAGCGATGAGTTGTTAGGTTTTTATGGCTGTTTCAATAGCTGCCTTTTTATACATATACTAGAGGCCCGGTGCACAGAATTCATGCATGGGGGTGTGTCCCTCTGCCCAGCCTGCAACCTCTCCAATCTGGGACCTCTTGAGGAATGTTTGAGGGTCTAAATGGGCAGTTGGACATCCTTCTCACAATCCAGGACTGCTGCCTCCCAACTGCTCACCTGCCTGCCTTCCTGCTTACCCCTAAACACTTCTGCCTGCCAGCCTATTTACCACCTAACCACTCCCCTGCCAGCCTGATTGATGTCTATCTGCTCCCCTGCCACCCTGTTTGCCCTCAACTTCCATCCTCTGCTGGTCTGGTCACCCCTAACTGTCCTCCCCTGCAGGCTTGATTGCCTGCAACTGCCCTCCCTTGCAGGCCTGGTCCCTCCCAACTGCCCTCCCCTGCTGGGAGGTGGCCACCTTGTGCCCACATGAGGGAAGGATCTTTGACCACATGGGGGCAGCCATCTTGTGTGTTGGAGTGATGATCAATCTGCATATTACTCTTTTATTAGATAGGATAGAGGCCTGGTGCATGGGTGGGGGCCAGCTGGTTTGCCCTGAAAAGTGTCCTGAATCAGGGTGGGGGTTCCCTTGGGGCATGTTGTGGCCTGGGCAAGGGGCCTGTGGTGGTTTGCAGGCTGGCCATGCTCCCCAGTGACCCAAGCAGAGGTCCTGGTATCTGGAATTTATGTATCTTCTACAATTGAAATTTTGTAGCCTGGAGTGGAGCCAAGCTTCCTGCTCACTCTGTGGCAGCAGCCATTTCTGTTGGGATTTATTTAGCTTCTATAATTGAAACTTTGTAGCCTTAAGCAGAGGCCTGGGCCGGCCAGGGTGTGTGGACAGCTTGGCTTCCTCTTATCACAGGGGAAATCCAAGCCTCCCTCCTGCTCTCTCCATGGCCGGTTGGGTTAATTTGCATACTTGCTTTTGATTGGCGTGAATTATGGGCATGGCTTGTGGATGTAGCAGAGTGGTGGTTAATTTGCATATTACTCTTTTATTAGATAGGATATACATAGATTAGTGCCAATAGCAAGGGCCACTCTTCTAATTCTTAGCTGTGTTCTAATAACAATTTTCTATATTTAACATTAGCAGGTTATTTATGCAGGTCTGACTTGTACACATTGATTTCTCCCCAGCCTAATGAAAATAATATGTAGATTAAAATTAGATTTAAAATTCTGATACAAAAGAATAGAACTGTAAAATATAAGTCATACCCATGGGGTGACCCTGTAACTACCTATATTCTCTATATAGGCTTCCCCTTAATCAGTGATTTCAAAATCCATGGTTATTATATTCAGGACTTTGAGGTTTGCTCCCAGGATATATTTGATATGCATGGGTTTCATTATTGCAAAATCAAAGCATGGGAGGGGAGAGGTTGGGGAAGAGGGATCAACCCAGTGCACTGCAGCTAAGCAAAATTATTATTCATGATAAACAGGATAGTTTGTTCACACAGATATCCTCTGGATCATGCAATACTTGAGGGCAGGTCCTAAAGTAAGGCTTATTTATAGCCAATGATCAATGCACATATGACAAAATAAATGAAATAATATCATAAAACGCACTATTGAAAGTCCCCTTTTAAATGTGACACTATATGAATAGAGGGCTGTTGTACAGTAGAGACTAACAAGTTAAAACTTGCCTTGGAGGGTAGAAAGAATAGGTGATAAAAGGAGGAAAACTGTCTACAGATAAATTCAATTTAATAAACTGGAAAAGGAGGGAGAGAGAAAGGAGAAAAGGATGGTGTGAGGGAAGGAAAGAGGTTGAGAGAGGCGAGGGAGGAAGAGAAGAGGGGATACTAAAGACAAATCAGTGTTTAAGCTACGAGAATAAAGATATTTCCTTTTAACGAAGTGTAAGGCATTATGCTTATACTGTTGGTCTTTGGGTCTGCAAATAGCTAAATATTTCAGTTAAATTAATTACCTTGATTTATTTTTAAGGGGTGCAGGTGGAACCTACCAGATTACTACCTTACTGGATTTGTTGTACGAGGATCCAATAAGACGATGCATGTGAAAGAAGCACTGAAAATTGTAAAGCTCCAGAAACATGAAATGTGGGATTCCTGATAATACATGCCCAGTAAACCAGGACAAAATAATAAATAAATTCTCTTCTTGTCAAGGTCCTTTTTTCACTATGGAATCAATTTATAAAGAAAGGGTCTATCTATATATATCTCATTAACATGGAAGAATAAAATTTCTGCCAAAAATTAGGACTGTTCATGAATCACACTTTGTGTTTAGTGTTTCCCTACAAGCTTAGTTCCCAGAAAACTGTTTTGTCTCCTTTCATTTTTCATTTCTTCCTGCAGTGGACAGAGAGGCTGCAGTGTTTCAAACCATAGCACTAAAGAAACAGAGTGCTTTAAAATGGACTTCATGAAATTCCATGCAACAAAATGACTTAAATGTACAT